TGCCTGAAATAAAATACTGAAAAAACTCCCCTCCCCCTCCAAAAATAGGATTTTTCAAGTTTTAACAATTTTTCCTTGTTTTATTATTTTGCTTGTCACTTTTTTCAGGTCTGAATTTTGTTCTTTTTCAATCCCCCCCCCCTCTTTGAAATTTTTTGGCAGCTAGACAATATAGCATTATAAATTGGTGCTCAAACTTTTATTTACTTGGTTTCCCCTTTCCCATTCTCAGTTTGCTTCCAACGATTTTATTTAAAGAAACGGGTACATGCTTTTATGATTTCTGGTCAGGTGATTTAAATTTCTCTAACCAGGAAGTAAATTACACAGGTTACAAGTTAATTATCAACTTAATAGTCTCGTTCAACCAGACCCTCGGCTGTCACCGTAAATCTCCGACCACCCAGAGGGTCTGAAGATACGTAATATCGTTTGTAACGCCAAAACGAGGCTTACCGAAATTCTGGTAAAGTTTTTGATTGGCTGAGAAGAACACACCTACACGATTTAAATAAATACATGATAAATCAGCAGAAAAACAACTTAAAGATGTAAAAGTTATATGACTAAAAGTTAAAGCTGTTAGATAGGAATTGTTTTCTGTAATGCCCACCAGTTATAGGTAAGTGTATAAGTGTGTATCTTGCAAATATTCTGTACGAAAGCAAAAGTGAAAGTAGTGTAGCGCTACCTGCGTATACACATTCCTTCGATTGACATTGTAATTTCTCGTTTGGTGTCCCAAATTAAAGATTAGTTTATTAATATAAAGACACAATCCAGAAGAAGAAACACATATAACGTTTGTTTTCAAAAAGGATCGTCAAAATGAATAGACTGGTACCCTGACATTGGTTCACGGGCGCAAGCGCCCTAAAAAACCAACGACAGGTAACCACTGCCATTTTATCGCGTCACAGGAAAAAATCTATATTTAGACTAGCGTAAATCCAGAAGTGCTGAAGTAAATAAACCCTTCTCTCTGCACTCTACACATGCTACACTGCTGTTAACGAAGAAAGTAGACGGATTTTAAGCATCTATAAAACCATGAAATAGTGATGCCTCAAAAACCATTAAATGTAAAGCGATATCACATGTCCCATATGCATATCCTACCCAAATAATTCAAATCAAGATCTATTGCATTATTAATTTTCCTACATATTTGCCACTGATATGATAATTAAATCACCGATTTAGTTATAACACTTGTTCTTTAACATTATTCATGTTCTAACGTTTACGGGGAATGCTATAACTCGTCTCTCTAACTCCATGTGTTATGGTACACATGCACCAGGAATAGGAGGATTACAATGTTTAACACTACGGAACATTTGAAAGTTCATTGTGACATTATATTGTAAGTTTATGCTATACTCAGCTAAGAAAGTCCTTACTATGTTGTTTGAATAATTTCACCGTATTCAATTGCTCTATTCATCAAGAAAGATATGCTTCGTTTTGTTTTCTCTGTTATTTAAATCGCTGGATCCACCTAACATTCTTCTCTGCAAGCATGATGCTATTTATTTTTGGAATGCGCAGTACTATGCGCGAAGCAAGCAGTGAGTTTTTCCACTGTCATGGCGGCGGAGGTTACCTGTCCTTGTAATTCCTAGCGGCAGCGACTGGAATCAAGGGCAGAGAACCAGTGCTACAAAATGAAAACAAGATAGCGCCCTCTGATGGTTACAAACGCTTACGTGATTCTTTACCAGACCCTCTGGGTGGTCGGAGATTTACGGAGACAGCCGAGGGTTTGAACGAGACTAGTTACAAGTCTCATCAAAGTCTCGACTAAAATCTCGCTCTAGATAACATTCCACAAACGTATTTAGAGGTCATTCAAACCAAAATTGAAATGTAAGTAGATGGATTATGATAGACAACTATATTTCTTTTTAGAGGACAGTCACATTATTTTTAATTTGATCTGAACATGCAACAAATGAGACAGATACTGAGATAGTTTAAAAGGCTGAAACTACATCACGTCATGGAATTATGCCGTATATAATCTATATAATGTACATATAGTTTGAAGTCTTCTCAACAAATTCAGCATTTTATCTTTTTAGTTGTTAAGTCTAATTCCCATATATAAGATAAGCATTATGACAGAAAAAAGATGTTTTGTCAGATTAAATTTTTTTTAATTTCAGATGGCACTTTCAAAACAAAAAATACCAGGCACTGCCCAACATTTTCTAGAGTGTGAAATTGAAAATTGCGAGAAAAATTGTGAATTTTACTGCAATTCCTGCCATCAACAGATGTGTAAATCATGCAGAGACCAACATCTAAAGATTCCAGAAAACATAAACCATGAAGTGGTCATTTATCAGCAACGAAGACGACAACCTCCGATGAAGAAATGCAAGATCCACCCCACTAAAGATATAGATATTTTATGTGAAGAATGTAACATTCCTATATGTTCAAAGTGTTCAACAATGCAAGAACACAGGGGACATCATTTTATTGATTTAGAAACTATCTACACAGAGAAATTTGCTCTATGTCAAAAGGAACTATCTAAAATCCATACTTATTTTGTTCCTGCGTCACAGGATTTACAGAGAGAAGTTCGGGAAGATGCCACAGAAGTTAAACAGATCATGGACAGCATACGGACATCCATGAAGGCTGAAGCCGAGTCTCTCAAAAACATGGTGGACACAGTGCTCTCAGAAAATATGGAAGAATTAAACCAAATAGAGAAGTCATTACTGAAGAAATTAAAGAGCCAAGAGAAGACATTTGATGATTATATTGCCTATCTCAGTGACCTTGTTGACGAGTTCCAGAGTTACCTGTCCTGTACTGAGCTCACTAACTTCACAACTCAACTTCCAGAGAACTTAAAAATAAAATCCATACCAGAAACCACAAAACCGGTCACACCAGAATTTTCTTCTGCTCAATACAACAAACATGATGTTGCTAAATTATTAGGGAAAGTAATTAAATCAGATAGAAAGGCAGAGCTAAGAAGAGTAAAGCCAATGGAAATTCCTCCTACTGCTACATCAATGAAATCTACAAGTGAACAGACAAAGCAATGTAAACATGTGAAATCTGACAAGAAACAAACAATGTCTCTATCTGCCTCTGTCACCAAGGTCAGGGAGTTCTATGTACCAGGTGTTGATCGTGTATTCCATGTATCACTAGATCAATCAGACAGACTCTGGATCAGTGACGAGTATGGTAATCTTGTCCAAACAGATCTACAGGGGAATGTGATACAGAAGATAAAAACCAGTGGTGGACATGGTTACCACACAGTCACACAGGACAGGGATCTGATCTTAACAGACAAAGACAAGAATATCATCAATAGGATAACACAGGATAATAATGTCACTGAATTCATTAAAACTGGAGACTGGAGACCACTCAGCATACACTCCTCCCACATCAACGGGGACTTACTGGTGGGGATGTTGAAAGAGCTTAATAGGAGACTGTTTGGGATGATAGTGGATTCAGAGGCTAAAGTCACCAGGTACAACAAGACAGGAAAAGAACTACAGAACATACAGAGGGATAACAAAGGACAGAGACTGTATGATTATCCACACTACATCACAGAAAACATCAATGGAGATATCTGTACATCAGACCTTAATAAAGAGGCAGTAGTGGTGGTGAATAAATCAGGACAACACAGGTTCTCCTACACAGGTCAGAAGTCAGAGTTCGATCCCTATGGAATCTGTACTGATGTCCTCGGTCACATCCTGGTGTGTGATAGTATAAGTAACACTGTTCACCTCCTTGATCAGGACGGTCATTTCTTGTCTCTATTACTCACACAGCAGCAAGGGGTAGAGTATCCCTGTAGTGTGTGTGTTGATGATGAGAACAAACTCTATGTGGGACAACTAACCAACACACTGACAGTGTACAAGTATCTACAGTGATTATTATTCAGTTCAAAACATACTGCATACATGTACAGTTATTACTTTAAACTAAAGAAGTTCTCATGATTTTGTATACTGAAATTATTATCATGTAAAATGTTTTTACATTTATCAATGTGTTAACATACCATATTATATGTATAAATACATGTAGTCATGATGAAATTTATAATTTCTAGAAAATAAAATTATTCAAAATTCAAAGCTTAGCTCAAGTAAATGAAGGATATTGCATGAAAATTTGAATGCACAATTTTTTGTTAAACATTTATTGTAAATAAAGTGTTACAGTATAACAGAATCTACTCGTTTTGAAACACAACATCATGAGGTGGATGTTATATTTTATTATCTGAACTGCACAACTTGTCTTGAGGTCAGAAATAGACAGCTGACTAGATCTAGTGAAAAATTAATTTCCTTCCAGACATTTGATTATGAATGAAAAATGGATTAATATTATTTTGATATATACGCTAACTTCTACATGTAGCACTTTGAAAATTATTACTGGTAAACTACACAAAAATATACTATTATAGATCATATGAAAAACAAACAATACTAATTTGTGGAAATGTAATGAAAAAAAAAAAACTATGGAGTACATGCACCTGCATACTGTGCAAATGAACATGAAAAAGGGCCAAGAAATGAGTGGTCTTAAATGCCCATTATACTGTATCTATATTTGTATAATATACTGAGGAGTTCCTTAATAATAGCATTATACTTCAACCTTAAAACCTACAAACATATAGACAATTGATATAAAAAAAAAATGAAATATTCTTAATTGAGTTTTTTTTATATAAATCAATTTAATTGAACAGTTATTTCGTGAAAAATCCAAACCTGAACATGTATATTATCAGGTATATATAATTTAAAACAACAAAATATACACCCTGTGCAAAATCAGAGAATTTCTGCAAAAAGTATGACAGATATCTTAATATATATATCTGATAAAGGTGTGCCATCAAGTAATATCATATATGTATAAAGTCAAATTATTTCATTCACCCAATTAAGAATTAAGAGAATTGTAATTAGATTCTACTCTCAACAACAGATGTTTGCTCAAAATCACAACTTGTATATTCTATAAAGTCTGCATTCAATCTGTTGATGTTTATGTAACAATCACATATGAGTTAAACGGATGTAAATTTAAAATCAACATCTCCTATTCTTGTGAAAGAATTTAATAAAAAATTAAGTTTTAATTAAAAGGAATGCTGAACATTCTACAAAATTATTTTGTAAAAAAAAAATTTAATACCACACAACCTGTTTTAACAAATACATATGCAAGGCCTTTGTTCTTGTAAACATATCTTAATTATACAGGAGTACATACATGTACTACATAAGGCACAATAATAAACAACGTTAAATGCAAAAATTCAAGTGTAACCAAAATAAATATATTTCTAATTGTAATGGCACAATACACAGACTTTAAAAATGCTTCCTTTGTTTATAATGTCAAAACTTTGTATGTACATGACTTCAAAAATAATTTCAGAAGAAAGTTTGTTCACAAAGTGTTTTGGTCAATTCTAATTTGTGACAATAACTCATACTTTTAACTTTCGATGTCATTTTTAAAAAAATATGCATTCCAGTAAACAACATGGTCAAACAATAAATATAATAAATATCGTAAAAAATAAAACAATATACATGGATATGGAATGGATATGTACACAGTATTGACAGCACCAACAATTCTGATAGAATAAACACACAACCTTATCATGTAATATCACTACCTCAATAAAAATAGAAGCAAATTAACAATTAAAAAAAAACATTGAATATCTATCAAATATGAAAAAAAAATCAGAAAAATACAAATGTACTGGCAGTTTATAATTATGGAATGTGGTGGGATTATGCAGTAGAAATATGGGGAAAATCTGCAGGTACTAGTGGGCCCACAATAAAAATTTCGTTGTAATCTTCATAAAGGGAGTTAATTGTAATTTTTAAATTAGAATGATGTTTAAAAATGTGATGTATTCCTTGTCAAGAGAAAAATACTCAGTTCCAACAACATATCCTGTAGGAATGAGGACACATATATCAGAAGACATGGGGCCCCTTAGGGGGAAACACTAGTATAGTTTGGCAGTGAGGTCCTCTCAGGGGATTTCTACATTTATGCCTTCATCATCAGCTGAAAAAGGTGTGAATCATAAAAATTCATGATAGATACTTTCATGTTTTAAATAAAAGGGTAAGAAACTATATAGACCTACATTATAAAATACATTCAATAAATTTTCAAATTTGAAAAAATGAAAAGTAATCAAATCATATTATACATCAACCTTGTTCTTACCATCAAAAGCTGCGTTAGCTATGCCTACATTCTGATACACGTGTTCCTCTTCTCTCCCCTCTAACACACACAGTAGACACTGGTGTATACACACATACTGTTGCTGGAGAGGAAATCAAAACTAGTTTAGAATAACTTATAAATTGATAAAAACCTGAAACAATTAAAATGGAAATTTTATCAAAGCATATACTGTAAATTCCTAATTCAATACCAGGAATTTATTATCACGTAATTTCACGAGAAGCATCACTCGCTTAATAAAATTACTCGCTTTTAATTTTATGGTGTTAAAATCCATGTAAATTCTCTGGATTGACCATTTATTAACAATCAAAAAAATATTCTAATTCTAATGATTTGACATTAAGGAACCATTTTACGATAATCGGTACTCACAAAAAATTTGAAATTTACAGTAACTCTCTAAATCAAGAGATTCTTTCTAACATTAACTTTTTTACTCAAATTTTTTACGTTTATACTGACAGAAGCAAAGCAAGTCCCTTTTTAAAGGTTCCATTAAAAACCTGTTGTAGTCTAGTACAAATAAATTTGTTGATATACTGCTGATAATTTTATGCAATTAGAATACATGTATTGTGGGACAATTTTACTTTGTTGGTGGTCAATGTTTGTGGGCAAGCAATTTTAACTGTTTGTTGGGAAATATTTCATTGGGAACACATTTATTTGGTTACTCATTATATGGTAGCTTTATTGAATCTTTATTTTTTTTTTACAAAATAATCTTTAATCTGGATACAAATTTGTGTGTAAAAGTGCTCCACAAGATCCACTGAGTCTGTACATGTACATATTTTTTTGGGTGAAGTTAATCCCCTGACATACCTCTGTCTGTACCATCCAGACCCGTTCCTTCCTCAGATCATGTACAATGGAGAAGATGTCCACTGTATCACGCTCTTTGATTTCCTGTAGCAGTCGATCCAACACAATGAAGGTGCCAGATCTCCCAACACCAGCACTGGAAACAAGGACCATACACAATCAGCACAAAATACGTAAAAATTACAAATCCATAATGCTTTATTATAATCCTAAAATTTCAAAATGTTCCCCCACAGACAATATATTAAAAGCTGGACTCGCCTGCAGTGAACAAGAACGGGGCCACACTCTCTAATCATCTGATCTCTAACAATGCGTACAAACTTAATCAGGGTGGGAGGCTTCTCTGGTACCCCAAAGTCCGGCCAAGCAGTGAAGTGAAAGTGTCTGATGGGTCGAGTGACGTTACCCTTTTGAAAACATCAATAAAATCATATATACAGCTGCAGCCAAAAAAAAAAATTAAAATTTTTATTAAAATGGCCGTAGAACTTACATAAGCTACCCTCATTTCTGTGATGGTCCAGGAGGGGAAGCGAGTCTCTGAGAGAACAGCCACCTGTAAATCTCCATAAAACATGGCGTCTGAATTAGTGGGCCAGTAGTGGTCACATTTCTCCTACAAACAAACAGGTCACATGGATTACATTAAATTGTCATGACCATTGCGGCCCTATTCTCCCCAAGGAGTGAACAGGAATAAGTATGTAAGTCAAGACCATTCATCAATTCAAGGCAAACAAGGCTTAGTACCCTGCTCTTTTTCTATTCAGTATGACAATATTACAGACGTTTCTATACTTACCCTGCCTTTCTCTGTGCAGCGAGTCAACATAACAATATTACGAACGTTCTGCTCCCATATCATTCTCCAGAAATCATCCCGGGTAGAAGGTAGTGGTCCCTGAGTCACGATGTACTCCCTCTTGGATGTGAATCCCTACAAGAACAGTCATAACAGATTATTTTGATGGTGGTATACTTGGAGAGTTTCACTGGGTGTGATCAATTTAGTAAACTCTGTACACATCTCTGAACACGGACTGACAATACCAATGAGTTGGTTTCCTTTCTTACATTTCTACTTGGAATTTTCTTGATTATAGTGTAAATTTATATTTTTCATTAACACACAACAAAATTTCTTCTTTTATTAAGGGTAACATTTTTTGTGGAAGTTTGTGGATGTATCAATCAAACATGTCCAGATTTTCATAGTTTCAATAATTTCCAGATAAAATAAGCTTGTTCTCATATTTCAATGTGAACTGTTACAGCAACATATCAGTCAAGATATTAAACAGAAAATTTAAGAAAATATTCACTTCAAATCTCTGTCCGGGCACCTTTAATGAAGAAAAGCACATTTTCTTGACACATATAAGTTCAATATGTACGACTCGCAACCTACCGGCATGTAGTTAGCGTTGATATAGTCCGACCCTTCCTCATCATCTGTGGGGAGCAGTTTGACACGGGAATGGTCGTACGGTAAAATATTGGTAAACCGATTCTTCCCACGATTCACTGGGAGTTCGGCTGCAGAACAGGACTGGTCTCTTCCTACCTCCTTCAGATCCTGTCAAATCAAAAACATTCAAATTACTTAGTATTTGTGACTTTACACAATAATGAGTAAAGGAAGATAACTCTGCTTTGCACAAACCTCAAATTGTTCAGCATATTTAAAATCTGAGTCAGCTGACAAGGTCTTAATATACTCCTTGAAGTCTGCCACCTTAAACTCATGACTACAACAGAAAATAATAAAATAAGTTGTAACATTTAAAATCACACTTTTAATCAAGATACTTTTATGCAAATGTAAATGTCTAGTACATTCAAAGTATTTTATAAATTAAACGGTGATTATAGCAATTAAACATGCCACCTTTAACTCATGATTGAAATAAAAAAGTGAATAAATTGAAACTGTTTCATTGAATTTCATTTCTGTAACTTTCAAAATACATTTATTTAAAAGTCAAGTTATTCAAATTATTTTTATAAAACCCTAATTTAAACAAACATGTATATTAAATAAGATTATGTTTATTCCAAAGAATAAAATATCCAAATCAAACAGAAATAGAAGAAATGATTTGTTTGAATGGAGACCTTTTCTTGTGTCGAGTGAAGCTTGTTCTGGGAGAATGACCCGGTGGTCCCTCAGCTCTCTTATTTTGTAACCGACTTCGGAAGAAGAAGATGGCGATGATAAAAACAATGACAAAGACAGAACAGACGACAGCTGCGACGATTGCTCCAACATTGGCATCATCATCTGAAGTGGGGACTGTCCCTATAGCAGAAATAGGTAACACAAAGCTTAAGACAATGTGACAATTTATTGACTTGATGTGTCTGAATGGTTTCCCAAATTATATAAAATTTCAAACATGATTATTAAGAAAATTTTCCTTTAAGGTCAAGATCTAGTAAATGAAAGGTGCCAACAGATTTATGAAACTTGAGAAATAAATTCCTTTATTGATGCTTTACAACTTTAGCTTGGTCAAATGAGGTGTTTCGGGGCATAATTTGTAGGTAAACAAGATGAAAAATTGTATTTTAAACTGTCATTTTCAATGAAAAATTAAGAAAACCAGTCATGAATATGGGAGATTTTTTCGTATTCGGTAGAGGAAATATATCCAGATTGCCTACAATCTCTCAGAAAATGGTAATTAGTAAGTTCATGGCCTCTTCTTTAAATCAATATCAAATTCAATATAGGTATCCTGTTTACTTTTCATATGATTTCAAATTGAATGACATGAAAATACCCTATTTTCTACATAATTCTGCTTAAGCCGTAATGTACGGGAAAAAGAAAGTTGAATTTGATTATGACGTCATAATGGATCTAGCACCAAAAAATTTGTCTCAAGTTATTTACTAGATCTTGACCTTAAATAAAATTAACATCTGGTAACTTTTTGGTTTAAGTGATTTTATGGACAATCTTTAATGTAGACTGATTGTACTACAGGACAATATAAAATAATATACCTGTGATGATAGGATCTGAGTAGGCAGTGTCAGCATATCCCCCTGCTGTGTAAGCCCGCAGTCTGATGTAGTACCTAGTGTTCTGTTTGAGTGGACCGTTACAGTACAGCACATTATTACAATCAGCCTCCACACCAATCTCAAACACTTTATAATTCTTATCCCCCACGCTCCGCCTGGACCGAGCTCGACCGCAGGAAGAGGTCAGCTGGAAGAAGTCTGAGCAGTTCCGAATGGTCTGGTAGGCCTTGATGTTTGGGTTGATCTGGGCGGCTTTCCAGTCCGGCAGGGTGCTGGTTTTGATGTGCTCCTCGTCAGGGTCTGTGGCTATAATGACTGTGTAGGCCTGTATACTGCCGTACTTATCAGAGAAGGCATTGGTAAAGTTGGCAGTAATGGTGGAGGGGGTCACAGTTTGACCTCCACTGGTCAGCTGCTTTGGTTTTGTTTGACTCAAGGTCAGGCTGTCTTTGATAGGTGGATCTAAATATTGCATTGATAGAAGTATTTTTTTTATTCTACAATTCTATATCAAGGATCAATTATAATATAGTTGGCATGACTAACTTTGAATTTCGTGTTCATGTATCCATATTTTTATACAAAATCTCAAAGACTCACAGACGAGTTGACTTACTGTAGGTGCGTAGAACAATCTCAAACTTCTCTGGAATGTTTTCTATGACAGTTCTGGCTGACACCTGCATTAACATAAGTGTATATATGTATGATTTAAAAAAATAAACTTCAATCAGTTTAAGGCAAATATTTTACATGTGGTCATTTTAATTCAAAACTCAGCCCCTAAAATTCTCCTCACACCAGCACTTACTTTGAATGTGTATTTAAGTCCAGCCTTCAGCTCTGTGAATTTCTCCCTGATGATCTGAGCGGCCATAAGTTCTGTGGTCACTCCAATGTCCTTCTCTCCTTGGTCCATAATGTGTCCCTAAAACAATCAGAAGTCATAGAATTACCATCTCTGTACAATCGTAATAAATAAAATAATCTATTAAATCAGTCAAATAAACTTTCTAGGACATTATTATCACTCACAAATTCATCCTCGGCAGTATATGATATGCGATAGGAACGGATGATTCCATTGGGATTTCTTGGGGGTGACCAGCTCACATTTACAGTCCTGGGTGAAATCTCAACCACATTCAAGTTCTGCACAGCAGAGGGAGCTAGAATAAACACAAGGAAAATAAATTTCAAACTTTCAAGGCATGGGAAAATTAAATTTCATTAAAATGTACTTCAAATCGAAAGACATCAAAAAAGATTTCAATTGTCAAGTTTTAAACCAATCTATCCATTTCAGCTCATCATTTAACCAATAGAATTAAAGATTGAAGATCAACATTGAAATCTATCATTTGATTGGCTGACCTGTTTCTTCTGTCCTGGAGGAGATAAAGAGGGAGTTGTGCTTGTCGCCAGCAATGGCCTCAATCTCAAACTGATAGTCTGTGTACGGATTCAGAGGACCGAACTCTATCACAACTGTTGTCTGGTTTGCTGGCCTTGTTTCAGAACCACAGCTTTGTGAACAGGTGACTCTGTAAGAATCCACATTACCACTTGGTCTATGGATGGTCAGCTTTATATAATTGGCTGTCTTCTCCCTACCAACATATGGTAGCTCTGGCACTAAAAAGGGGGAAAATGAAAAATGTCAGGAAATATATTCATCAGTCCAATTCCTTTTCATGTTCTATTAAGGACAGCTGATATAAACAATAAATGGATGCCTGGATTGGTATATATTTTATGATTTTATTTCATTGCAAATGATGCAAATAATAAATTTCTAGAATATAGAGAAATTGTAAACTTTCTGTGATGTTCAAAATTCTACCCTTCAGAAACCATCCTTATTATTCTATACAAACATTTTTCACTTCAAATAAATCTCGTTATTGTGAAACTTTGAATAATAAAATTAAAAACTACGCGGTGAAACTTATTTATTTTGTTCATTTAAACGTGACCCAAGTTGTTATTTTCAAAATTTTTGACAAAAGTTTGTTTGTATCATCTGTCATTAATAGACACTACAGAAGAGTTACCTGTACGTATCTGTATAAAAGTGGGAGAACTGGACTGGTCCCCACTGACAGCAGTCACTTTGATACTATACTGGGTTCCTCCCTCTAGACCTGAGAACACCACGCTGCGATCGGGGTCTGTCCTGTTCTTCTTCACTATTGTTGATGTGGCCACCAGCTCAAACAGATAATACTCAAAGTAGTTGTCAGTGTCAGTGTACAAGACTGTGATGTTTTTACTCCCAACACTTCCCTCCGACAAAACTGTCTTTATTTCTGGCTCTGAAATAGTATAATATTAAGTATAAGTACTTAGATTTTCATTCAGCATTATGCTTATTCAAATATCAATGACTTGCAAAAAGAGATGAATTGAATGAAACGTAGGGTGGCGAAATTACTTTTTACAATACTTACGGACAGAATCATTCAAATGAACAGACTTGGAGACCGACTTTTGCACAATACTGTAGATGGTGATATTATAGGTGTGTCCAGAAGTAAGTCCAGTGATATTGTATCTGACCGCACTGTCTGATGAGTTGGCCTGGACATTAACTGTGTTAGACATGCCGTCTGTCAGACTGGTGTAGGTCAGGTTCCAGCTCTCTATGTAGGTCATGTTACTGTTATACGTCCACCTCAGAGAGAGGCTGCTATTGGTGATGAATGTAACTTCTACACTGCTAGGAGGCAGGGGGGCTGAAATCAGGTTTGTATTAGATTATAATTAGGTCTTTCCACCTTTCTGTGGAAAGACCTATTGATTTTCTTCTGTTTCTTATTATTCCGCTTCTTCTTATTTTTCTTCCGCTGATTTTTTGTTTCGATATTTATCGAAAAGACTTTTTGTTCATCGTAAAGGTCATTAAAAGTTAGGAAAAAATTTGACCCAACGCGTATGAACTATGACCACTTTCGAAGTTATTGCCCCTTTCACAAGAAATGCTTGTTATCGCTACTCCTTCGAAACCGTAAACCGTAGAAATATGAAACCTTCACTAAAGTCTTCGACTAATTGAGAGGACTCTGGAATCTATTCATTGCGAAAGTATTCTGTGACCCCTTCAATGAGTTATTGCCCCTGAAACTTTTTGAATTTTACAAATAATTAAAAATTTTCAAAACGAGTAGTGATAGAGACATGGGACCAACTGCATAAGATTCATTGACCTTTGATCATGAAATCAATGCAAAGGTCAAAGGTCAAGGTCATTCCAAAATTCAGAAATTAAGCTCTTTTTATATCTTTTTTGTCTCTTAACATATACAAACCGTCTTAGCATCATTAATATGTACTCTTGAAACTATTTTAAAGATTCAATTCGTATTGCGTAAGATTAACCCTATAAAAAGTTATTGCCCTTTGTGTGAAAAACCTTGTTATCGCTACTACTTCGAAACCGTAAACCATAGAAATATGAAACTTTCACTAAAGTCTTCGACTAATTGAGAGGACTCTGGAATCTATTCATTGCGAAAGTATTCGGTGACCCATTCAATGAGTTATTGCCCCGAAACTTTTTGAATTTTACAAATAATTAAAAATTTTCAAAACGAGAAGTGATAGAGACATGGGACCAACTGCATAAGATTCATTGAGCTTTGAGCTTAAAATTCATGTAAAGGTCAAAGGTCAAGGTCATTCCAAAATTGAGAAATTAAGCTCTTTTTATATCTTTTTTGTCTCTGAACATATACAAACTGTCTTAGCCTCATTAATATGTACTCTTGTAACTATTTTAAAGATTCAATTCGTATTGCGTAAGATTGACCCTATTAAAAGTTATCAGCCTTTGTGCCGAAAACCTTGTTATCGCTACTACTTCGAAACCGTAAACCGTACAAATATGAAACCTTCACTAAGTCTTCGACTAATTGAGAGGATTCTGGAATCTATTCATTGCGAAAGTCTTTGGTGACTTCTTCATTGAGTTATTGCCCCTGAAAGTCTCTGAATTTTACAAGTAATTAAAAATTTTCAAAACGAGAAGGTATAGAGACATGA